TTCTTCATCTGTGTATTTTTGTCAAAGCTTAGAGCGGGATAAAGAGACAGAGGAAAATGGGAAAATATATACATGAAAAATGGACCAACAGACTGAGTCGCTTTAACATCTAGGGAAATGGCAGGAAATCCTTTAGCTTCAGATTTATGGTATGAAAACCAGAGCATTTAGTTCTCATTGTGACGTCTCAGTCGATGGAAGTTGTGTATTACAGATCCTCATTTTTAAAACCTCAAATCATGAAAACTTTGAGTCAGATGGCTGAGATTAAAATTAATTGCACCAGTATGCTATGTGACAGTACAATGATACAGTATGTTTGCAAAAATGTTGCTAATTAAGAACAAATCCGGTTAATTATAATAAATCCATTAATTTTGTAGGCACTGGGTGGATTAAATAATTGACTCCACATTTGTCTGCTTTTTATTAGAGCTTTGTAAAGACATTTTTAGTAAATATGATTTTCTGCTTTCCTTATCACTTCTGTGAAACAGTTGCTAATCATCATCGGCTTGTCCTCCAACACTTCTCCAGATTTGATAACATGAAAAGCTCCTGTCTGTAAACCGCAGATGACACAACACATTAATTTGACAAATCTGGCAAATACAGTTGTAGCCTTTATAAACAAAACTTGTTTTGAGTGGTTCACAGAGCATTTAAAGAAAAAAATCTGTTTTCCTTTAACAATATATTTATGCAGTTTCAGCCACTTATGCACTTTCTATTCGGGCTGATAATAGTTTTTCCTAGGTGGTTTATTGTAGAGATCCACTGCGGTGAATGGCAGGGAAGTTATGACAAAGATTATGAGGTTTTACACAAGTCACAATGGAATAAAAATGGATCAATGCAGAGTTTTTATTCAAGCCTTCCTGCTATAATATACATTTTCTGTCTTAAAGAAAAAGAAACACACAGGTTATCTGAACCATGATTTAACATTACATCCTTTCAATGCTTACATTCTTGTGGACTGTGTCAAAAAGCTAATATACACACTTTGCATCCTGTCATAATCTCTGTTTTTGTATGTTTTAATCCCCTTTTTTTCCAAATAACATGAGCATATGACCCACCACCACTGTAGTTTACTCCCTGGCTGGCAAGTAAACTTTATTGTAAAAATTGACATTGCAGGACTAGAGAAATTGGTTGTTTGTGGTTTTGTGACTGATAGAAATGTTTGGGACAGTATCCACTTGTCTTGATACCTGTCTTTCATTTTTCATCTACTTCTTTATTTCCACTCCCCTTCCCCACGTGACTGCAGTGGTTTTGTTGATGTGAAGTACAGTCATGCTGTCAAGACCCAAAATTCCATGCTTGTCGTCTTGTAACAGAATGATGTGAATGCTCTGAGCTTGATATCTAATAAAAATAAGACCTCAGTTTCTTTCTACACTGAAACACTTGCTCTTTGTGGTTTGAAATGCTCCTGCCACTGGTTCCACTGACATCTGTCTTTATCTACTTATTGCCTATTCAGACTTTTTTTGTTTGACATGTTTTGTGTATTGACACGGCACTGAAAGAAGACAGTGGAATCTGTTTTCTAACGGGATGTAGGTAGGTGTAAATGTGTGATCTGGTGCAGATCTGTGGTGTCAAAAGTTTGCTATACTTATGTCTCTATTAAGAATTTTCACACTTTTAGTTCCCAGCTGACAAACGCACAGATGACACAGTAGGATGAAACACAGTGTTTACATGTATGATGTCCCTTCTATCTTACAATTCGCTTGGATGTAAACGCAATGGAATACATTAGACTATAAAATAAAAATCACTGCATCAGTAACTTCAAAAATTTAATATATTTATTTTAAAATTTCGTTGGTGTCCTACATTTGTTTTGCTCTTTTAGTTTTTAATTTTGTATATAGGTTTTTGGTCGGATCATTGTGTCAGGAAACCAGAAAATTGTTTGTGTTCACAGTATTTCAGTTAGAAAAACTTTGAACACATTAGACTTTGGGTCCATGATGTTCCATCTCCCTGCACTGCTTTCACAATACTTTCCTGTCCTGAAGTAAATGAAGTTACCAATTGCTGATCAGGTTTCTGAAGTTGGAAGTTAAGTGATTATTTAAGTGCACGTTGATTCATTTTAAAGCTCCTCTTTGCCTTTTCATTTTGACTGTCCATCCACACTAAGCTACTAAGTGCCAGATCTATGTATCTTTTTAGCTTTAGGAACATTGATTTTATTCACCGTGGAACCAGCTCTTCTCTCCTCAGTGCTTTTGTTCACTGTCCTGTTGTTGTTGTCCTGTCCTCCTTTTTGTCTGTTTTGTTTATATCACTGCTCTGGTTTGTCTTCTAACCAAAATCTTGGTGTACTTGCATGCAGTACCTTGCGACACATCACAGTTTATCACTGACTGACATCCTTATTATGTACATTTATCCTTAAAGTATAACCTGGCTTCATTCACTCTGACAAAAATGGTTAACTTCAACAAAATAAAAACGGTTTGGGAGCAACTATACTGTTTTATGGTAACACGTATAGGGTATATTGACATTGTGACACAAAAGACTGTGTTACTATCACTCATGAGCTACAGAGTTAAGGTCCAGAGATGCAATTTTTATACTGTACCCAAAAACTGTTGAAATAATGCAGTAAATGAGCCAAAACACAAAAATAATACATGAACACAACAACACAAAGATGCTTTCTATGTGTTGGAGTTTTTTGTTAGTTGCACTTTCATTGGAACTGCTTAAAAAATGTTTAAATAACTGGGATTTTAAGTGCAAAGACAAGGTGCAAACTGTTATCTGTCTACATAAGTGTGACACAAAGCTACCGTGGAACTGGTGTAGCACAGTTTTCTTGAGCCCTGAGGTGTAGCCACTGTTCCACATGCTTCAGAGTTGTATACAATGGAATAAGTGTACATTTGATTCTGAGTGTTAATTAATTTTATTTGTTCTACAGATTCTTAACTTTGCTACACAACACATTACGTCGAGTCCTGCAATATACGAGTACTGTAGTTACTGGCTGATACTTAGCGCTTCACTGGTTTAATAATCCTTCACTGCTAATAGTTTATGGTCTTTATCTTAAAAAGCCAGGTACATAGCAAATTTTACACATGCACACATTTTCCATTTATTGTCTTTTTTTGAGCAGGCGCTTGCTCCTTGTCTCTCACTGTGTCTCAAAATCCTGTGGTCCCGTTCACGGACAGTCCCATTTGCCATAACTAGCTGTCTGGCAAATTTGAACTGTTCATTTTAATTGGCTAACTTTTCTCCTTTCTTAAGCAATAACGTGTTCCCTGGTCTCCACCTCCTCCTTTTTCCTTTTGCCCTTTTTGTCCTCGCACTGTTTTTTGCTCACTGAAACTGCCTGCCTACTAGTTGTCTTCACTTTAGCCCTGGCTTTCTTCCTGGTTATAATTGCCTATTTAGCTGCCATTTTTGTAGCCTCTACCTCTCTTGCCATGTCCTTTGCTCTTTCATTTTAAGCTGTGCAGCCATAACAGTCTTGTTTGCTAGCTTGCTCAGACTCTGGTATCGACACTACAGTCGTTTTTGTTGTTGTTGTTGTTGTTATTTGTCCTTGTAGTGTTCTATTCCTCACTGGGCTATTACTGTGTTGTGCCATTACCTTCCAGAAGCTTTTTACTTTGTGCCTTACGTTGCCCTCTGCACTCTTTGCCATCATTGCTATTTGAATTGCCATATCACCCAAGTTCCACCTTCTCTTTTTATCTCTTCCATCCTCATGTCTTCATATTTTTCTAACTCAAAAGCCATGTCTCCCCATCTCCTAGCTAGCTTCCACAAATGCTTTTTGTTGCCTTTTTTACTCTTTGCTTACATGGGTTTCTCTTTAATTCTCTTGGCAGTCATTTATGGCCTTTAGTCTGCCACAGTCCTGCTCACTGCATTTCACTTTTTACTTTCCTCTTGGTCCCCTTTGCCTCTGTGCTGGCTTGCTCACAATAACTGTCTCTGAATTTCTCTAGTGGCGAGTCTTCATAAATAATAGGCCCAAGTAAGATTTGTGGAGCCCCATAGAAATGGCTCCTTGGGTCTTTGTAACTTTGCTGAACCTGAAATAAACTGCCAAGATCTTTTCTCTTTGCATTTTGACCATCTAGTCCCCAGTTCACACATGCTTTTACCTAAAACACATTTTATCCCCTTTTCTTTTTCTTTTCCATTTCACATTTCATTGCCCTCTCCCACCTCTTATTCTGTCATCCTTTCTCTTCCTCTGCCTCTGTCATGTTGCTCTTTATTACCTTTACCAGTCTACTGTTTCTCTCATTTCCCTCTCCGCTCTCTTCCTAGTCTGTAAGCTTAACCTTCTTTTTCATTCATCAGTCCTTCCTTGCTCTCTTCCCCTACTACTTTATTCTTCATTATTGCTTACCTTTGTCATGTGCTTCCACAAATGTGTGTCATATGCACTTGTACTTGTTCCTTTCCTGTGTCACACATACTTTCATCAGCTTACCCCTTGCTCCTCATTTCCTTTCTTCTTCTGCAGTCCAGCTTTATCTGTGCTCCTTTGCAGACCTGTCATTAGGGTGCAGCTATTTAAACCTCACACTTATTTTTCACATGAAGCTGTTTTCAAAACACCAGAGAAAAGAGGGAATTGGAGAGCAGAGTGAGATAAACACTGGAAGTGCAATGAAACACCAAGTTTACATTAAATCCAAAGAGAATCTACTCAGTAAAATGACCTGGGTTTTTAAACAGCAGCTGATACTGTATGATTATCCACAGCCTATATTTGTTTGCTGAGTCATTCACACTGCACTTCTTTGCCTTTTGCTTCTTCTAAAAGCCATAAAATAAGATTAGAAACTTAGACTGCAGCTTTTACTTTATCTCGAGTATCAGTGGCTTACTAAAAAACAAAAAAGGGGAATTTGTGATTCTTACTGTTAGCAGCAGCTTTTTTTTTTTTATTCAAACCTCAACTGCTAATGTGATTGATGCAACAATGCTTTTCCTTTTTTCTGCAGGTCTGGTGGTGAGAGAAGCCAGCATAGAAATAACACGGCAGCAAGTCGAGGAGCTTTTTGGGCCTGAAGATTACTGGTGTCAGTGTGTGGCTTGGAGCTCAGCTGGAACCACCAAAAGTCGCAAGGCACACGTCCGCATTGCGTGTGAGTATAAGGTGTAAAGGTTAGAAGATATTATTTACATATGTGCAAGCATACTGTTAACAGTATGAGTGAGTTACAGTAAAATAAGTGTTTATGCTTAACATTTGTTTGTGAAGATAGGCAATATCATAAATAAGTATGTAATCCCTCTTTTTTTCCCCCATGTGGAAAGATATAAGATAGCATACAAACACACACACACACACATATAATCATACATGCACAGGCAGCATTATCACCTCTGCTGTGCTGGGTCCAGTCTCAAAATAGCCTTATGTGCCAGACAGGACACTTTAGAAGATGTGGCTGACAGGGAAAAATGATGAAGCGCTTATATAATATAAGTAGACGCTTCTCCACTGGCCTTTGGTGTGTGAATTATTACAACACTCAATCATACGAACATTGATGCAGAGGTGTGCACACAGCACATGTACACATTTGCTCAGTTGTTTATACGCTATACTACACAAACACATACGGAAATGAAAATGAAATCTAGTCCGAAACCGAGAGTTTTGACAAAAAATAAACATATTGGTGTGTCATACATCGGTTAGTCAAATCTGTTATACTAGTTGCATTTTTTTTACATTAAGTACAGGTCATTAAGTAGTTTTGATCATCCATTGCATTCTTTAGGATTTTGCACCTGGCTGATTTGGCAACATTCACGGTTACTTGTGGTAATAGAAGTGCGATTTAATATACTACAGCAAATACCCATTTCATAGATATAGTCATAACTAGACATGAAGACAACTGGGTCGTCTGTTTTGCGATTTAGCTAAGTGTTTTAATAAACAAGTTGGTCAATAATCAGCCATTGTTTTTTATCACGTTGTGTTTGAATTTATTATATATTATCATGAAGAAGTTGGAGGTGTGCAGCCTGTCGCCTGCAAACTCTTCAAGTACCAGCTCCCTGTGGCTGCTCCTTCTTTATCTCTTAATGCCTGCATATTAAAATTTGATCTACTGGCAAAAAAATAAACAAAAAAGCTGAAAATTACTTTTATCTGGACAGTTTTAATCAATGACCAGTGTCGGCGCAAAGCTCTAACAAACACTGCTTCATAATAAAAGCCAGGTGAATGCTTCTAATCTCAACCAGAAGCAGTAGAAAGTGTTTGATTTGCATTCGAAGTAAACTGATACAGGGGAGTGAACAATGAGGCTGCTATAAATGAGACAAAACTCCAAACATGGCACTTTGAGCATTTTCAATTGGTAATGCTAAAATATAGCATCGAAAACTAGGTTCTAATATAACTTTCACTGTCTGGCACATTTCTGTCATGAGTTATAAATTTTTACTACAGTAAAAACACTGTAGTTTCGCAGGAAAAAACTAGTTGTGCAGAACCTCCAGAATGTTTTACACTGAATGATGCATGCGGGGGGACCTTTCTAAGCTGAGACTTAGCTCTATAACTTCAGCCTACCATCAGTTGCTTCCCGTTATGGTCTGGTGAAGAACTTAACAAGTCCGCTGGGAGCTTGACTAGAAGGTCACCAAAAGAACATAGGGCATAATAGACCCAACTATGCTAAATGTCACTCTAGCAGACATTACTGTATAATCTTGCAAACACAGTGATCACACTGGGAAATCTTTTTTAGGATTGTTAGGCCCCAGCAACAGTCCAGGGGAAAGAAAAGACTGAATCCTGTTGTGAGTGATGGCAACTTGACAACTGTATGTAGCAAAGGAATTGAGGTGTTCAACTGAAATCACCAGAAAGTCTTGTTTGCTCTTTCAACATAAGCCTTGTAAAGCACAACGTATTGTTCTTCAAAGCTTCTCTTACCGCCTTGAGAATTGAACTCACAACAGGAGTTTTCAAAGCGTCATTGCTCTGGTCAGTTCAGCCATAGAAGACAAGAGGGACTAAGGTTATAGATAGGTCAAGCAGAAAAGAAATGCCAATAACAAAAGTGATCTCACCTCTCCAGTTTTCCTGGCTTGTACTGACTGTGGCTCTGCTTGAATGAACTCTCAAAGAACATCTCGGGGCTTTGATGGAGTCCCTTCTGCAGACACAGAACTGGCTCCACACATCCTTATGTGCAATACTTTAACTGACAGTATCACTCTAACAGACACACACGCTGGAACTCTTGTTTTCCCTGGTTGGTCTTATTTGTGCTACTCACTGAAATCCATCATGCTGACCCTTGTTATTCACTTCAGGTTATTTTATTTGGCTGTAAATATAGTTTATATTTCTTTTCTTCCTTTTTTCCACTTTGCAGGCCTTGGGTGGTTCATGTAGGTATTTTCTACTATCTATATTTACCTACATGTATTTGTCATTTATTTAATTTATCTGCATTTTGAAGGAAGCTAAAAACTACTGTTCTGTGTTATGCATACCATAACACAGAACAACAGATTAAAAATAAGTATTCAGTCATTAAAAACAAACACACACTTGATACATTATTACATTTATAGATTACAAATTAAATTAGTGCATGTGTAGCAGCGTATATACTGCATATACATATGTGAATTGAACTTTGACCAGATTTTAATACACCAAATATTCACTAGTACATTTGTAGAACTTTATTGACTCCAACTTAATCAACATACAATACAGAGTATATTCACATTAGCACAGTACCACAACAACAGTTAATTTGGCCTGTGAGCTTTATAGACCAGTTGAATTTAGAACAGAGCATCACTACTTTCTGCACTGGTTTGGTATTTGAAGATGTTTTCAGTCTGTCAGACGAGAGTTAGTGACACAGTTAGAAATATCCTTCTCAGCTCTGCTAATAACATTCTCGAATGGAATGGTCCCTCCTCGGGGTGCAATGAAAGCTGGGTAATGTGCTGTTTTTGGCTTATGTTCGCGCTGATGCATGCTGAGAGACAGATGCAGGCAAGACTACATATACAGACTTCTGACAGTCTCAGAGGCATACACATGCATGTAGACAGCAGCAGCACAGAAATGCACACAGAGCAATGAAGACTGCATTGTGCGGCCACATAGGTGACATATGAAGGCGTACAGATCCATCATGCATGTGTATGAGAGACTGTGTGTGTCTGCATCACTAAGGCTTACAGTATCACTGCCATCAATCATTATCATATTGTACTACATCAGTCACAGTAAAGCCAAGCTTAGTGTACTTTAGTTTTCACTTTATTTCTTGTTTTGTTTAACTTTTTTTCTCTGCCTCAACCTGATACACTGTCAATACTATACTGTATAAGACATTTCTATAAGTTTTACACTGTATAAAAGACAAATCTTTTATCTTTTTATTAGTATACATTATTTCACCCACAGAAAACCTCTGCTGGAGGCTAGGTGGAGGGTTGGTGATGGAGGATGCCTCTAAGAATCCTTGAAGGGCCAATACATATCAGACAGAAGAAATATGAGAGAACTCCTGCCTCTCCTTTACTTTATTCTCTTTGTCTTCAGATCTCTTTCACTTCTGACTTTGTCCCCCTGTCCTTCATGTTCTCTCTTTCTGTTATAACAGTGATTTTTCCCTTAACCAGATCTGATTACGCTCGTCTCCCCTTTGCGATAACCTTTTACTTCAAATCGACCCAACCTCCTGACCTACCCTGCTTTCGGCTCCTATTTGGATCTACTGCTGTGATTAAAATGCTTCCTGGCAGCTCGAGCTTGCTGAGCAAAGTGTCTTTTCTACCGCACCTCACAATAGCAATTCAGCATTTCTCTCCTGCATTCCCATCTCCTCTTCCCACTCATTTTCCTATTTCCTCATCCATATTCTCGTCTCCTATTTTAGCTTTTTTTTTTCTTCACATTGCTCAGCATGTGCTTTTTGTTTCATTCTGGCAGTCATACTTTTCTTTCCGACTCCAGCATCTTGAGGCTGTTTTAATAAGAGTGGAATTAACACTTCCAGGCAGTAACTAAATATGCCGGTTGTAGGTGCATAATGGCAATCAGTGTCGTGGCCGTAAAAGTGTCAAACACAATCAGAGATATTAAATCTCAGAGTGATTTGTTAGTCTTTTGGAGCAGGGCACTTTAGCTGAGTTATTGGTAGCAGGCTGCTTAATTCAAATTTATAAAGCAGGTGAGACGAACACAGACACACATTCACGCACTCATTTAGTCAAGCACAGAACAGCAAGCACGTACACAGGGGTAAGAGAAACAGAGGTGTGTGTATACACACAAATGCGCATGTAGTGGCAGCCATGCTCTTTGGCCCTGCAGCTATCAGGTCAAGTCTTTCTCCTTCAGTGGATTAGCAACCTGTCGAAGTCTCTTGCTCGCGCTCTCTCTCTCTTTCTCTCTCACTCACACACGCGCACATTTCAGATGATGGCAATTTGTTCTGCCACCTTCCACTGAGACGTGTGTGCATAGCAATCAGCAGTCCAGGCACTCAGAGACACAGCAGCACAGGCAGCTACTTGAGTCAAATGAAACATGTCTGTTAGTGAATTTCTTCTGTTCAGTTTGTGATGCAAATGTCTCAGCTGCATGTGTTTAGGTTTTCCTTCAATCATGGATGAATTAGACCAAGGAAAACAAAGCTCAACAGTGATTTATTGTGTTAGACTTTTAAACCAAACTCTTGTACACTCATTTAGACTCAAACCTACATGTAGCTTACAACATTAGACCAGGCCATTTATAACTCTGGATGTGGAAACTACTGCAGTCTGTTAGACAGCCTTTATAAATCTGACTCTACAGCTCAGAAACCAAAGTTCAGATTACATGCCACCTTTTTTGTCATGAAATGGCATGTTTACAGTTGCAATTTCATTAATGCCTATGCAAATCATATAATATGAACTAAACAGTCCAGACTGTTTATCCCCTCACTTTGACACTGTTGCAAACATTAAATGGAAATCTTCACTGGTTTCCTCTGGATGACCTCATCATTAGACTCTGTTTCTGGTTTGGAGTGAAACTTCATGATCCACAAACACTGATTTTTTTTTTTTTTTAAGTGAGAATCCATAGTGTGTGTGTGTGTAC